CAATTAAGATTTGCTGGCCAGTAAGAAATATTCATGCATTAGCAGATGGGTTAAAAAGATACACTTTTACTAATATTAAAGTAAATAAATTAGTTTCCCCAGACAGAATTTTTGAAAAGGATATAAAAGTGTGTGTGTGTGTGAGTGCACCTTCATTACATGTGGTGCAGTAAGAGCCACTCTCATCTGATATTTCACGGAAAGTTACTAGTTTCTTTTCACTAATGCATGTGAACGCAGCAGTACAAATAAAAGAACACAATCTCCAGTTAACCTGAACATGTGGACGGATAATTAGCACAGAAAATAAACAGTACAGTGTGTTTGTGGCAGAACAATGCTGAAAACAACACTGCAGACAAACCCAATTATTAGGACTGAACATCACATCTAATAAAAGCAGGTGATCAGACGGGATGTACAGTAGGTGTTTAGTGCATGTCGACACTGGTTGCTATAGTAATGACGTGGGCTTTTAGCACGAGGCCAAACTGGGAAATGTGTGCTCTGTATGTAGAGCCGTGATGCTGGAGGAGCTGCTTGATTCCCTGCTGCATCACTGCGCCGGCCAGACCGAAGCTAAAGCCATCAGAGGACTTACCAACTTCTTCTTACTGTTGTGTTCTCTTCTCAGCACCTATTCTTAACCTCTGTGGCGCACGTCCAGCATGATGAAATAAACCACCTGCACTGCCAATCAAATCTCAGCTAACCAGATTTCAAAAGCCATAGAAATGTGGTTTGTATGGAAGTTGTGTGGTTTATTTCACACAGCGAGAAGAGACTGTTATTTAGGATAATAGCAGACGCTTTTATCCAAAACGACTTACAAATGAGGACAATAAAAGCAGTCAAAACTAACAAAAGAGCAATGATATATAAGTGCAAATGACAAGTCTCGGTTAGCCTAACGCAGTACACGTAGCAAGGTGTGTATATATATATATGAAACACACACACATAAACACACACACACAAAGAAAAACAAGTAGATAGAATAGAAAAAATATAATTAATTTTTTTTTTTTTTTTTTTAAAGAGAAGATAAATGTAGATAAAGTAGAATTAAAATAGAGTAGAAAGTGCTAGAGTTAGAGGTTCAAATAAATGTGGAATGTTATACACTATAAAAAATATTTTATATATGTATTTATATATATATTATATATGTATATATATATATATATATATATATATATATATATATATTCAATTACCTTAGTTTTATTTATAAGAAAATAAAACTTAAATTTGAATGTCGCTTGCTGTTTCTTTGTTATCGTTTGTGAAATTCACTAGCAATTTCTGTGTGAAAATTGTTTCTACTTTTTTTTAATTTCCTGCTTTCAAAAGTGCAATTGCATTTAATTCATTGCAAAATAAAATAAATGGCAAAAAAATTTACATTTGCATAAAAATATAAAGACGGTAGATAGGAAGTATTGTAGGAAGATGTAGACATGGGGGAAGCAATGTGATTCTTGTATTAAATCTAATAAATCCCCTACAGCTCTGATGAATTATTCAGTCACATTTTTGATTTTCATCTGTTTTAGTTACACTAAGTTTGGGATGGTAAGATTTTTATTTTCGAAAGAAATGAATACTTTTATTCAACAAGAACACATCAAATTGATCGAAACTGACAGTAAAGACATATATAACGTTACAAAATTGCTGTTCTTTTGACGTTTCTTTTCATCAAAGAATCCTGAGAAATAAAACGTATCTGGCTGCACAACCGTTTTCAACATTGATAATAATCAGAAATGTTTCTCGAGCAGCAGATCAGCATATTATACTGATTTCTGAAGATCATGTGACACTGAAGACTGGAGGAATGATGCTGAAAATACAGCTGCACATCACAGAAATACATTACAGTTTAACAGAGATTCACATAGAAACAGTTTTTTTAAATAGTAATAATATTTTACAACATTACTGTTTTTACTGCAATGGGTGAGCATAAGAGGCTTCTTTCATTAACAATTTTTAAAGACCGACACCCATTGAACAGAAGTGTATATTATTGCTACATTTTATATATACTACTACTACATATGAATTGATAAACACACTACAATGTTCTTTAAATCAAGAAAAGCAGATCACGATCGGCCGTTTGAAAGTGGCTGATGTGTGTGGATGCAGCTGTGCACCTCTGTATGATCGTGTATTAAAACTAGCATTATTAAGATGCTTAAGATGGTCACTCTACCAGTGAATGGACAAAGAGTAGATGGAAAAGAGCAGAGGATGAAGGAGGAACAGCATGAGAGGTGGTTTAAGTGCCATGTGTTGGCGTAGTGCCTACGTGGTTCTTCCTGAGCAGAGAGGTTAGACGACATGTAAGAGGGCTTGGAAACATTAACAGTGAGCGTGTGTGTTGACGTCGACTAGTGGAAGAAACCGCATTAGCTTTTTTTCGTAGGTCACTGAAATGTACTGGTGGAGGAGGCTTTTAAACAACAAAGGCTTTGGAAAAGACAGGCATCTACCTACATTTACAGTACATACAAACAGCAGCATAGTGGCATTAAACACCAACAACTTTTATTCCTCATCACACACATAATGATTACTGGGACATTAATAAAGACATATTTTAATGTGGTTTCTTGCACAATACTATTATGATCTCAAAACACTTATACTGTAGTGCATAATTTGTAAATTAACAGATTTTGATGTTTGTGTCTCATAACCAGCTGCATATGCTTGTCTTTTCTGAACTAGTAAACTTGCTCGGTAGCGCACCCGGTACAGCACTGCACTTGTGATGAGAAGCGCTCGGGTACGAGACCGTTCAACACAAGTCACGATAAAAGAGCTCAAAGACTTGTAGAAGCAAGATAAAATGACATAGTTGCTTCAGTAAATGTGTTTTTATCTCATGTTTGCTTTTTTTGTTAACACTATCTGTTAGATTTAGAGTTGGGTTTAGTTACGTTATTTCCACACACGATACAGCATTAACCTATTAGTGACCTTTATTTCTGAACTGTCGGGATACAAACAATAAAGGCGGGCGTACACGGTGCGATTTTTGCTGTCGTACGAGCTCGCAGGCGATTTTTTTCTCTCGGGAGAAAATCGCAGATGGTCGCGGCTCGTAACGTGTGAGAAGAATTACGGGCCGATCCGAAACGTTACGAGCACCTCCCGTCCTCCCGATTATTTTCAAACATGTCAAAAAAAATCGGATGCTGTCGGTTTAAATTCGTGGCGTATGTGCGATTGAACGAGACGATTTGGCGATCCATCTGAAGACCAATCAGAAGATGACAAAAACCATATAGTCTATAATAATTTTAGTTTAATTATACAGTTCTATTTTTTATTTGTTATTCCGAATGTGCCAAATTTGCCGTTCAGCTTTATGAATGAATATACCGGTTGTATTTCCGGCAAAACGAGTAGAAAATCAGAAATGGCCTACTCCCTCGAGTTCTTTATGAAGAACAGAAAGTCCATGCTTTTCTCTGCTTTTCAGCCATTCTCTTCGTTTTTTTTTTTTTTGCCTGCCACAAAGAAAACTATTTCATCCTCAGAATCCATATTTTTATGAATGGCGCGAAACGTAATGCTTACCTTAGAGTTTGTAAAATCGTAGTAAATTCGTGTCGTGTGTGACTGCCTCCGTACGTTTTTCGGATAAACTCAATCGTGACATGTGCCAGAGCTCACGACGTTCCGACCTTCAGAATCGCACCGTGTACGCCCGCCTTAACCAACTGTAATAAAACATTGTCAGATTCACATTCATCATTTTCAGATAAAACTGAAGTTGCTTTTAGTGCCACTCACTGGACATTTCACATTGAAATAGCTGCTGCACAAAAAGCAGCATAATATCTTTTCACAGAAATGCCACAACAGGCACGTTTTTTTTTTACAGTGAGCCCGAGTAGCTTTTTAAACTTGCTTACGGTAAGAAATTATGGTGAAATCTTCGATTGGCATGGGACATTATTTCAAAAACCAACAGAGGTAGGGGCTCGTCAAAAAAACAAAAAATCAAGCCAGTCCGGTCACTGTTGTCAAGGTTTTATGAAGTCCACATTCACATCTACATAAATAAGTGCGCTAATTGTTCACACGTCAAACACTTGCATAATTATAGTATAAAATAGACCCGACTTGTGCATCATTTCAAGTCGTTTTCAAATGACACAAATTTCTTTCTCGGCATGAGGCGCGTTCAGCTTTTCTGATTGGCGATAGAGAGGTTTATCAACCTGCGAGACGGCCGTATGTGTTATTAGGAGCGAGAGCAGCTAGAAATAGCAGCACACGACTCCTGAGAAATCCATTAGTGCAAATAACATCTGCTTTGCTCAAACACAGAGTCTGCTCTCTCTCTGCGCTGATGGGATCATGGAGGGATAGAGACGGGTGTTCTGGGGATTTTGGGAGCGGAGCGTGCTTTATTAACAAGCTCATGGTTTAGACACAGAGATATCGTGATCAAATAACAGCTGATTAACATACTTGACTCTACTGAGACTTGCACATGTGGATTAGCATATATAATATGCTGATAAATAAGTTTAAGTCTCTTCTGCTAACCGAGGTTGCATTTATATGATTAAAAATACATTGTTAAACTGTATTTTAGTCCTGTGATTAAAGCTGAATTTTCAGCATCATTACTCCAGTCTTCAGTGTCACATGATCTTCAGAAATCAGTATAATATGCTGATTTGCTGCACAAGAAACATTTCTGATTATCATCAATGTTGAAAACAGCTGTGCTGCATCGTATTTTTGTGGAAACCGTGATACATTTTATTTTTCAAGATTCACAGATGAATAGAAAGTTGCATTTATTTGAAATGGAAATCTTTTGTAAAATTATAATTGACTTTACTGGCACTTTTGATCAATTTAATGCATGCTTGCAGAACGAAACATGACATTTAATTATTTCACTCAAATGATGCTGATAATATAATATGATAAGACGTTATGAATGGAGTGTGGCGGATCAGACTCACATTAAGCCCAGGCCCAGGTAGTTGGCAGTGCTGCCCCAGTACATGGGGTTCTCCATCACATTAAAGGGGAAACCAGTCACCTTCTGATCCATCAGGATGCCAAAATAGTCCCCTGTTTAAGGATAAAAAGAGAACCATGAATCAAATAATTCCACATGTATCGTTCAGACACAAACTCCAGGGAAGCAGCTAATTATGGCCCTGAATGTCACGTGTTGAGCCTGAAAAACACTGCTTTCACAGGCAGCATATGGAGGAAAGAAGGCATCATGCACATCTAAACTTAGTGTCAAGACTATAAATACTCTTGTTCAATATTCCTAATACACCTAATGTATAGCTGCACAATTAACATCTTTATATTCTGCAGACACTTCATACCCTCAGCTCTATATATATTGCAATTAAAGAAACAGGTCATGATTTCAATTCAATATGTGACCCTGGAGCACAAAACCAGGCATAAGGGTCAATTTTTTGAAACTGAGATTTATGTATCATCTGAAAGTTGAATAAATAAGCTTTCCATTGATGCATGGTTTGTTAGGAGAGCACAATATTTGGCTGAGATACAACTATTTGAAAATCTGGAATCTGAGGATGCAAAAAAAAAAAAAATCTAAATATTGAGAAAATCATCTTTAAAGTTGTCCAAATGAAGTTCTTAGCAATGCATATTACTAATCAAACATTCAGTTTTGATATATTTACGGTAGGAAATGTACAAAATATCTTCAAGGAACATGATCTTTACTTAATATCCTAATGATTTTTGGCATAAAAGAAAAATGTATAATTGTGACCCATACAATGTATTGTTGGCTATTGCTACAAATATCCCCCAGCGACTTAACACTGCTTTTGTGCTGCAGGGTCACAAATATCAAAATATAAATAAATTAAATAAATGCTGTTGCACACAAAATAACATGCATATGTATATAACAAACATTTGATAATACGCATGTTATTTTGTGTGCAACAGCTTTTATTATATATATATTTTAGTGCTATCAATCGATTTAAAAAAATTTACTAATTAATCACACATTTTTTCATCACGATTACTCCAACCTAACAGTAAAGTTTTTAAACATGCTTTTAATTTGCAATAATTTCACATCAAATCTTCTAATTAATGTAGAAACAACAAAGACAGCATATTTTAAATATTTGTTTAATGGCATCTTTTTTTTTATGACTGAAGACCGGAATTATTGATACCAATACTACTGATGTCTCTACGAAATTGTGAGCTATCGATTTTAACATTTATTAGACTTTAAAAAAGAACTTATAATTTAAGTGAACTAAAAACAATCTTCACATTATAATAAATGTCGTATTTACCCGTGCCCTTCAGCAAGTAGGAAATATACAGCAATTGAATAAATTGATCAAACACTGAATTCTAAATGAAATGAATCCTTAAAGCTACAAACGTTATTGATTTCCTCTTTTGCTCTTTGATTAACGGACGTCACAGCAGCTGGGTTATTAGCTTATTTGGCTGCTATTACTTTAAGAGCTGCCGTTGCTGAATGTGACGCGGATCTGACACGCATGCTCTCATCGCATTTTAATATGAAATGATACAGGCTATATGCCACTGATTCTCTCCTGCTTCACGCAAATCAGTTTTATGAAAATTCAGCCGTTTAATGAAGAATTATGATTCAGCCGGGAGTGAATCAGCGATATACTGTAATAATGATCATGCAGGGAGAAAAGTGATTAAGACTCAAATGTGCATGTCGGCGACTCATAACTTCACTAGCTTTTGCTCCATGTCCAGGTCATCCTGAACAAAAGGCCGGTTTGATTTTGTGATCTGGTTGCAATCGCTGCCCTTCAGAGAAGTAGAGCACCTTTTGTCATCAGGACTATGTAACCAGTCCTGCAATATCTGGGTTTTAACCCTCCTTTCCCCGTTCTCTCTGACCCAGTTTATGACAATAGTCTGACGGTAACATGCACCTGTTCGTCCGAGTTTCTTTTATTTAGGTTTCATTTGTCAGAGCGTTATATAAGCTCGTACATTAGGGAGCCCTGCCATCGCTCTTATAAATACAGCATATACCGCTGTTATGAATGAAAACACAAATGTTCACAAATACAAAGCAATACTAATCTGACTGCGCATGCAAATAATAATGCAGGTCAACAGGTGAAAGAAGAGCTTTGTGCTGCCAGTCACTGAACACTTTAACTAACAATAAAAAATACTTCAACATTTACTACTACATATTTAAAATCAAAAGTTACTATTTTATTTTGATTTATATGAATATTCATATTATTTAATGGACTAATGTGAACTAATCATGAAGTTTTTTTTCAACTAATGTTCTCAAAAATGAATAAATACTGTAAAAAATTAAATGCACATTAATGCATTAATTAACATTGACTAATGAGACATTATTGTATAGTTTTACCCATTAATTTAACATCAAAATCAGTGTCGGAAAGTGATGCAACTGTCCTCAGATTTTTAGTTTACAAATAGTGTGCGTTTGTATACACACACACACACACACTATTACTTAAACTACAAATTACAGTTATGCATTTCATTAAACTGCTTTCTTAAAAATCACTTCATTACTTCCTTACAAATTACTATTTGAACCTGTCACCACCACATGAACTTTGTTGTGTTTTCTTTCCCCCTGTGTTCTGTGACCCTGTGTTTGATTGTGTCATTTTGTTCATCTGTGTCTGATTGTGTCCTCATTAGTTGATCTTCCTCGCCTGTCTGTCCCTCGTTAGCACACCTACTTTAGTTCTGTCTGTTCAGTTTGTGTTTGTCGGGTCTTATATGTGACTCTGGAGCACAAAAGCAGTGTTAAGTCGCTGGGGGATATTTGTAGCAATAGCCAACAATACATTGTATGGGTCAAAATTATAGATTTTTCTTTTATGCCAAAAATCATTGGGATATTAAGTAAAGATCATGTTCCATGAAGATATTTTGTACATTTCCTACCGTAAATATATCATGATTAGTAATATGCATTGCTAAGAACTTCATTTGGACAACTTTAAAGGCAATTTTCTCAATGTTTTGATTTTTTGCACCCTCAAATTCCAGATTTTCAAATAGTTGTATCTCAGCCGAATATTGTGCTATCCTAACAAACCATACATCAATGGAAAGCTTATTTATCAGCTTTCAGATGATGTATAAATCTCAATTTCAAAAATTGACCCTTATGACTGGTTTTGTGGTCCAGGGTCACATATATGCCAATACCTGGTGTGTCTCTACCTGCCCTGTCTGGATTTACCCTTGGAATTATTAAATATATTCAACTCTTCTTTTTCAACTTCGTCTTGGATGAATTAGTCACACCATCGCATGACAGAACCGCAATTGTGTATCCTAGTTGTGATCTCAATCTGGAACTGAGTTTACACCAAGATGCATTACTAGACTTACAGAAACTATACTAAAAAAGCATGGATTTGTACTAAAAAACATACATGGGTACACAATAAATAACATACACAATAAAAGTTTCGTCCACCAACTGCACCAGTAAAAGCGACTGACCCACATCAGGGCTCTAGTCAGTGAGTGTTTGACTGTGATTGGTCAGACGCAGGTGTCAGATACCTGCTGAATATGGACTAAACTGGAGGTACAGCATGGTCAGCTGTAGAGGTGTGAATGCTGACAATCACAGTGTGTTAGAACATCATCACAGAACATTACGCGCCTTCTAGACGAGTTGGATTAGCATTGTTAACCTCGGGTAGAGATGGAACACGGACCAAAACCTGGAGATGTGGACTAAAAGATGACTGACCGTGTATAAGATTTTTTTTTTAGTGGTTTTATTCTCATCAAGATTGCATTAAATTGATCAAAAGTGACGGTAAAGACATTTATAATGTTACAAAACATTTATATTTCAACCAAATGCTGTTCTTTTGAACTTTCTACCCATCAAAGAATCTTAAAAAATAAAATGTATCACAGTTTCCACAAAAATATTGTGCAGCACAACTGTTTTCAACATTGATAATAATCAGAAATGTTTCTTGAGCAGCAAATCAGCATATTAGAATGATTTCTGAAGATCATGTGACACTGAAGACTGGAGGAATGATGCTGAAAATACAGCTGCGCATCACAGGAATAAATTACAGTTTAACACATATTCACATAGAAACGGGTATTTTAATTGGTAATAATATTTCAAATTTTTACTGTATTTTTGATCAAATAAATGTAGCCTTGATAAGCAGAAGAGACTTCTTTCGAAATCTTACTGACCCCAAGGGAACAGTAGTGTATGCAGAAATAAAAAAAAAACATTAACCAGATATACATTTTTCTTTCCAGGCATGAAATTGCATGTAAAATATTCAATAAAAAAATCACTATAACACTATTGAACTAAAGTATTTAGTTTAAATATGAAATAATAATTTTAATTTATATACTACTACTTGTAATAATAATAATTATTATTATTATAATTATAATAATTTTTTAAAACATTTTTATTATCATCGGTGTTGCTATTAGTAGTAGTAACATTATTATTATCTTCGTTGTTGTTATTACTATGAGTAGTAGTAGCATTGTTATTATTAGTAGTGGTAGTAGTAGTAGTAGTAGAAGTATTTTATATAACAATTACAATCCTAATATTTATGGTAGTTGTTTTATTTCTTTGCTTTCAAATGTTAAACCATAAATTGTTAGAATTAATTTGTTGTTATTACTATGAGTAGTAGTAGCATTGTTATTATTAGTAGTGGTAGTAGTAGTAGTAGTAGTAGTAGAAGTATTTTATATAACAATTACAATCCTAATATTTATGGTAGTTGTTTTATTTCTTTGCTTTCAAATGTTAAACCATAAATTGTTAGAATTAATAAAAAAAAAAAAAAATACTTACTGGCCAACTGATGAGTAACACTGAGTTTCATATACTCGCCAACGCTGATTTTTACTTGCATTTGGCACTTGGTGAGTGAACTTTAGGTGAATTGTGTATGTAAGGCATGTATATGTAAGTGTGGTACAGGAGTGTGAGTGGATGATTTACCCAGGAAAGTGCCAGTGACGCCCAGAGCCATGAAGCTGCTGATCACAAACACCGATCCCAGCGCCATGAGAGCTGCTCCTGCATAGTACACATGTGCGTTATCCAGCGGCTCCCAGCGAGGGTGAGCCTTCATGGCCACTGTAATACTGACAGACAAACACAGAAAGCAAACATAAGAGAGAGAGTGAGTGAAAATCACTAGAAGTCCAAATATAACCTTCCAATCTGCCTTTGTTTGCTCACGTGATACGGTTGTGTGAATAAAAAGAAGCGATGCATCCCACTGCAGCTCTTTGTCTGAATGACATACAGTTAATTGATTATATGCTCCGAAGCAAAAGTGGGTCAGAAAGATTGATTTTTTTACAGAAGCGTCTGATAAGACTGTGATTGGAGGTTTTTCTTTGGCCCGTGTGGAGGTACAGATGGGATGCAGGCTGCAACGATGCTTTAGTCACTCGACTGTTTGTCAGACTGACTGATAGAAATGAAGCTGAGTGCACACTGGAAAACTCATCTGACCTCAATGGAAACTCAATGGAAATTATTCTTCAAGAGCATGCAATGCTGTTATTTTAAAGGTTTCTCAGTGATGCATCATCAGTTTTAACAGCACATGTTGTTTCTGAGGCGCTGAGATTTGGTAAGCCTGACAGACTTACTGTGATCTCTGTGATTATGTGCGATTAAGACATAATATATGCTTCTGAAGGAGCCACAAGCAGTGTTATTATACTTAACTAAAATGTGATACCTAAAATAGAAATATCTGAAATATACTAAAATATAAAAGCTGACCTTATTGTATTTCAACTAGCTGCCAATGCAAATAATACACTAAAACGGAAATAAAAAAATAATAAAAACATTTTAAAAAAAAACTCACAACAAAATGACTTGATGAAAACAAAATATAAAAACAAAAACAAATTCAAATTATTAATAACAACTGTAATAGTATTTTACTAAAGTTTTGATACAAAGTCGTTCATGAAATATTGTTTTATGAAATATTATCAAAATTATTACTATTAATAATAATAATATATTTATTTATTTTTAGCGTCTTTACATAGTAATACAATAAAAGCATAAAAAACTAGTAATATACACAGACAATCAATTATAAATGAATAAATAATCATAATGAGCTTAAAATGCTTTTATTTTAGATAAGATTTACGATTCATATAAGTGACGTTATACTTATAATAACAAATATCTGCCAATTGGATTTAAAATAACCTTGTTTTCCCTTTGAATTAAGTTTATTTTTCTGCCTTCAATGGCAGATATTTTTGTTTCTTATTGTGCAGTTTTCCCCCAAAAAGCAAAAGCATATTGTCTTGTTTGCCATTACAAATATCTAAAGATTCTTAAATCAAAATATATTTACTTAAGCTAAATGTCACGCCCCTGGACTCATTCTGTGTGTTTTTCCCTCTCCATGTGCCTGCCCTGACCTGGTTTTCCTTTGTTAATTGTTTATTGAGTTGCTGGTGTGTCTCGTGATTAGTCCCATGATTTAAGCCCTGTGTTAATAATTCCATGTCTGGTGTCTTCCCTTGGATGTTAATTATAGTCTCTTTGTTTGAAGTCTACTCCACGTCTCCTCGATCCTCGCTCCGTGCACCTCACAGTAGCGGTATCGTGACACTAAATTACTTAAAGGGATAGTTCACCCAAAAATGAAAATGTGATGTTTATCTGCTTACCCCCAGGGCATGTAGGTGACTTTGTTTCTTCAGTAGAACACAAATTATGATTTTTAACTTTAACCGTTGCAGTCTGTCAGTCGTATAATGCATGGCAATGGTAACAAAATCTATGAGAGTAAAAAAAACATGCACAGACAAATCCAAATTAAACCCTGCGGCTCGTGACGACACATTGATGTCCTAAGACACGAAACGATCG